TATATATATATATATATATATATATATATATATATATATATATATATATATATATACGTATCTAGTAGATGTATAAGCAATCATATATCACATATGAGCAATTACATCGGATGATCATGGACCATAACATAATGTGATCAGGTCTAAGCTAGTAGGCCCAATCACCCACATCACAATCTATTTGTACATTGACGTATCTCCATTCCATGTGATCGTCAATCTTGTCTGCATCGGTTTTGTCAGCATCTTGGCGCATCTCTATGTGTCACGATCATCCGTTTCGATCTCGTGGATTCCGCTGTTACCTCCATGCTCCCATCGCATCTTCTCGTGTGATTATAATATAATCACAAGCATGTAGGCCCAATAATAAAAAAAAAAATAAAGGCTCGCAGGACTCAATAATAATAATAATCACATCACATACATCACATTACATGTTTCATGATCATCTATCTATATCATACATCATATGTACACATCGTCATATAGGACTACTAGATAATAATAATAATAATAATAATAATAATAATAATAATAATAATAATAATAATAATAATAATAATAATAATAATAATAATAATAATAATAATAATAATAATAATAATAATAAAACTAATTAATTAATTATATATAATATTTTTGGGAACCCTACCATAGGGTGCCCCTTATATGGTAGGAAGTCCCTTATGTTGTTAGGAAACTCTACCCGTTAGGGAGGTCCCTACGGCTAGGGCAGCCTTGGGCGACCAAGAAAGCCTGGCCCCAAGGTGTCCCTTGCGACCAGGACTCCTAGCCGCAAGTTACCATGGGCGGCTAGGAAATCCTGGTCACTAAGCTACCCCTTACGGATAGGAATCCCTGGTCGTAGGGTCACCTCCGACAATCAGGAAACCCTAGTGACCATGACTCCTTGGTCGCATGGGGTGTTATTGTTTGGCCAAGAACAGCATGGCTGCTCTCGATCTACTATAGGTGGCCAGGCCGAGAGCCTCTTCTAAGGCTCTTGGCCAAGGCTACAAGTAATCTTTGGTCAATCCATAGGGCAACAATAGTTACTATCACTTTCTCCCTCTTTTGCGTCAATAATTTTGATGTCAAAAACCTCTCTATAGCACCTCTCAATAGCGAGAAAAGGTGTTGTCCAAATATGAAAACTATGACAAAATTCACAACAATAATGCATAAAATTATTCTACGTGATTCATCAACACACTTAATTCAAAAATAATTATTGCACGAACCAACCTGGCTTTGATACTACTATTGAAAAATATGATCAGAGCATCACATACATAGGGGAAGAATAGAAAATAAAAAACTAGATTCCTAAAGAAAAATATCTTATCATCATACAACGATTGGTGCATAAAAGACTGTAAAATAAAAAAATTTACGTGTATCATATGAGATGTGTTACTTAGGGAGATTATATATCCTTAAAGGATCTCAAATCTATAGGAGAGAATGAATGAGGTCATATGTCCTCCTCTTTAGTGGTGATCCACATAGTGGATGTAGCAACGACGCTCCTTAAATCGCAGCACGATCTTCCTCTCCATACGCACCACAAGATTACGTTATCTTCAAGAAGAGGTCGACCCTTCTTCTTATCCACATGCCCGAAATAAGGGTTGTCGGCCGAGGAGGAGAGGAGGAGGGGCGGCCATAGAGATCTCTAGCCTATTAGCATTATGGTCCCTTCCTATTTATAGAGGTGCATGATAACTTAACCATAATGGATTCTGTCATATTGGGTATTGTATCTCTATTCAATTACCCAAGCCTCTTAGATTAGTAGATCTCTATTCATTAATCTCTTAGTAACTCTTATTAGATCTCATCCATAGGAACTAATAATATAGGGGCTTGTTAGATATCTAATAAAACATGGGTTTCATAGATATCTCATATTTATACCTTTACTCATCGTAATATTTACCATATGTGTGTGACTCTCTAGGCCTAATACTGAGTTGTCTATGAGTTGTACCTGTCAAAACTCCTTCTGACTCAATGAATTATTATCTTCATAATAATTCACTCAGCTTATCGACTACGGACGTACTATGTCACTACACCATAGTTCCCAAGCGATACAATAAGATCCAATCCATTGGACTTGTTTACCATCAGTTACCGTATATCTATAATCTCTTATCCATCTAATATCCCAAAGACTGTATATCAGGCATGGTATTGTCAAACCTATACGAAATCTATTTGAGTCTCGCTCGAATCGGATTCTCTTAGAGAACTCCTTTCTCAACCCCAATGACCCTAGCTAGGGATTTACCTAAGCGAGAACGTATAAGATATTCCTCTCATGACACTAAAAGTAGATGATCCTCTTTTAACACTCATTTGTCCTCGTAAGATTGACTACCACTCCCAATGACCGATTGTGCTAGATCTAAAACTTTCAAGTCTATAAATATGGTATCAAAGAGTAAAGTACTCATATAGGGCATCATTGATGTCTCAAGTTTAAGGACCAAACATATAATTGAGATCACAAAACTACTGTCTAACAATGAGGTATTATTAATCATCCAGTATTCCGTGAGCGGATCAATTAGTGAACTCATTCTTCACTTAGCACTTGCACTATATCCCTTATGTCTCTATACGAGTAGTTATGAGATTAGTCGCCTCCATCATATGGACGAGTATACAACACACTAGTCTATCCGATTATCTCAATATCTCTCTCGAGTAACATATAACCGGGATTATTTAAGGTCTGTGTTTAAAGATGAATCGATCTCATTATCATAAGAAAATATTAATAATAATCATAGACATCATAGTAAATGTTATATGTAACATAAAATAAAAAAATTAATAATAATAATAAGCAAAGAAATTATGTAGCGTGACATATGTTATCTTAGCATCTATTACTAACCGACAGATAGTGACAAAATGCTTAGAAAACCATTGTAGATGATGTGAAGAAAGAAAAATAAAATAAAATCAAAATTAAAAGGATTATAAATAATATAATATTATTTTATTAATTTTTTAAGAGATTATGAATAGTAAAGAAAATTATCAATTTTTATAGTAAAAATAAAGCTTTAATAGTAAACTCCTTTTATTAATTTCTTAAAAGAGTATCCTGATGCTACGTCTCATAGTACTTCCGATGAAACATTCCAAAGTAAATGTTTCAAATGTTGCAACTTAATTCTGACCAGTTGCCACGTAGAGAGATATGAGATTGCTACCTTCTACAAATACGTAAAACAACGTCGTTTAATAAAAGCATGAAACATTTTTTGTTTCCGGAATTTCACACAACTTAAGTTACAACTCGAAAATGTGACGCACATCCAGAGGCACGCCACTCCTGTCGACGGCCTTCGGTTGCGTCTTAAGTCTGCTCGTGAAGTAGCTAACGGTCTTGATATAATCGGATTTGTGTACTTACCCTCCGATCTCAAATCTCAACCGTGCATTGTGTAAGGTGAGATGGACAGAGAGGACCCACCTTGAGCAGGTGAGGCCCACCGACAATTCAACGGCTGATATGGATGGGAGGGATGGGCGGTGTATGTGGCAAAATTGGATCGGGAAATGAAACTGTACGAACGAAAGCGGCAGCCTTACTCATGTGATGTGTCTTTTTGCCTACTTATCACAGTTTATTCCCTTACAAATTTTAATATTAGTAAATTCATTCATAAAATCAATATACAAAATATAAAAATATTTAAGATTAAGAATAAGAAAAATATATGTAGTTCGAAATTAAAAACAAATACGTAGAGCAGTTACTTTAGAAGGGAAGATGACGTGTAAATATACTTTTTACCATTTTTTAATGAATACGTTAGTACTCCGAAAAAGTAAAAAGTAAAAACACACAAAAGATGACGTGAAAGCGTTTCACGTCGCTTTCGTGCGTTCTGTTACCCGGAGGGGAAACCTTCCGTTCCGGATGGTCCCCACACAGTACACTTTAAAAACTACGAATTGAGTGACGACCTACCGATCAAGCCTACACGGACTCTCCCCACACTCGCCACGTCACCTTACACCCCTCCAATTGTCGTGGCGCTTGTCGTCCAAAAGCACTCCCGAATGCTCTTCTTCGGCTCGCCCTAACTCTCGCTTCTTTTACCGCTCCACTAATTACTAATTGCTGCCACCCTGCAATCCTGTTACCCGATCTCCCCTATTTTAACCCCATTCGTTCTCTTCTCTCCCCCATTCCCCTGGCCTGCCTTCCACCAGATCCTATTACGTCCCTCCCCTCCGGTTTTCCTAGCCAGGTTTCTTTCTCTCACTCGCTCTGTGCGCTGATCACTGGTTTTTGTTTGTTTTTTTCTTTCATTCATTGGATCATTTTGCCTTCGACACTGGGACTTCCATGTGAGATGGCAATCTACTCCGTCAAAGGAATCAGAATTGTTAAATCATGTGGAGATTATAGTAAGTGGATCTTTCTGTTGTCAATGGGGGGTGGGAAATGGGAGTAAGGGTACTAAAGGAACTACCTTGTGAGTGATACATCAATATAAGTTAGGATTTGATGAGCGATGTTCAATATAGGACACTGTTGTGAAGTCATATTAACCCTAGGTTTTGCCTGGTGAGCCATCACGTCGCCTTCCACTCAGTTGATGGATGCGATATACGTAGTTCTTGATCATGGTAAGCTTCGCTGTGAGCGAGCTAGTACCTTAGGGAAAGCAATATATGATTGAACGGTAAAATGTTTCTGAATGGATGCCCAGGAATTTTGTTGGTGAAACAAAATGCAAAAATTAGTAACGGGATGTCCGGAATCTAAAACCCAAAAACAATTGCTAGTAATCATCAAATATATTTCTGGAATTTTACATGACCACTTTACATGTTTGATCATGACACCACCAGTATTAAAAGTATTATTATAGAGACTCATAGCATATCAGAAGATAAGTTGGTTTGAAATGGGATTTGGAGATCAATGTCAAGAGTCAAGACTACAGGCTTGCTGGCCAGCAAATGCGCACCTCAAAAATTTTCATTGCTTTTGTGAGGCTACCATTTTGCATGTTCTCTGTCAAACAAAGCATGGGCTTGCATTTATATCCGACAGGATCCTTCTACAGTCGTTGCTGAAAGCTGCATGCCCAGGTTGAGTTCCTACTGTCTTACTGGTCACAAGGTTACCTACTTTGTTTGCAGAAGGTATGAATATAACGAGGGTGGTTACTGTGCCAACAACTTTCCAGCCCTTTGTTAAAACTTTTGCATCTGATTCATGTGCATGAGGTTAAGATCATAGCACAAATCCTCCTTTTGTAAGGCTCCCATGATACTTGAACACTAACTGAATTAACAACAGGTTGATACTTTTAACAGTTTTTTAATTCCTTAATTGTTTGTGGATTTTCTTTTCCATGATTCCTGATGGTCTTGCACTGGTGTAAAATGTACTGAATTTTAATTTTTTTTAAAAAATCAACTAAGAGGCAACTCCTCCTCAATACCCAGATTATAAAGAGTTGTCCAGCTTTTTCTTCAGTTGTATCTGCATCTAAGTTTTGGAAAAAAATGTGCATGCAAACTAATAATGATCTCAGGAATTTGAGATCAGAATGTGGGTATCTGACATGTCTTCTTGTGTGTTTGACCTAGTTATCTTGCATAAACTTTTGCATGAATATTGTGGATCATACCTTTGAAACTGTTGAATGGTCATTTAAGTTGTTTTACAAGATTACCAACTGTAGAGTAAGGGAATTTAGTCACTATTTTTTATACTTATGGCTGAAGAAGCTTGTTATATTACAATTTTGATGCCCATGGAAGAACTGGTGTACTCATATCTCTTTTATCTGGACTTGTGCAGATTGCTTATTCCAGTTTGGTTTAGTCTACATAATATTACACTGATATAATTGTGATATCAGTCATGAAACACATGCATCTTATTGTGGAGTATCAGCAGTTGCTGAACAATCTTATGGTGGCCTCTGTAATTTGAGGACAATTGAGTCTATGCATGTTACACTGAGTAACCAGGAGATCTGTCAATAAGATATGGGATGTGAATGGTGAATCTTTGAACTGAAACCAGAAACAGATGGAGTCTTGTGGGCCTTTCATTTTGGGGAACCCCCCGAGACATCACCCGCTGACTCCATTGAGGGCATTTAGAGGTGTATTGTGTTTAGTAATACTTCTCTTGACTGCTTTTATGATGGTTGTTTATTGCGCCCCTGTGACCACTATCTTGCTGCGGCTCTTCAGCGTTCATTACAGCAGGAAAGCAACTTCTCTTTTCTTTGCTACATGGTTATCTCTGTGGCCCTTTCTGTTTGAGAAAATCAACAAGACCAAGGTGATTTTTTCTGGTGAAACTTTGCCCATGAGAGAGCGAGTTCTGCTTTTTGCTAACCACAGAACTGAAGTTGACTGGATGTACATATGGGATCTTGCATGGAGGAAGGGTCGCTTGGGATATTTGAAATATATCCTCAAGGGCAGCTTGATGAAATTACCGATATTTGGTTGGGCATTTCAGATTTTGGAGTTCATTGCAGTGGAGAGAAAATGGGAAATTGATGAATCAATTATGCGTAAGAAGCTTTCAAGTTTTGAAGATCCTCAAGATCCTCTTTGGCTTGTTATTTTTCCCGAGGGAACCGACTACACGTAACATTCGTTTATCTTTCACCTAATATCCTTTTAGATTTTGGAAATGTGTGAAGCATCAATATTTTCTTGCTCTTAGAATTATCACTTGTCTTGGTACATACCAGACATTTTTATAATTGATTTACCTTGTGTGGTATTTTAACTGCAATTAGTCACTGTGAAAAAGATCTTGCTACCGGTTTTTTACTACATTTGTTCTAGTATTGAACATGAAAAGGGCTTTAAAGCTGGTAATAATAATGCCTCCGTTGGTGTCCCAGTGAGAAGAAGTGCATCAAAAGTCAACAGTTTGCAGCTGAAAATGGTTTGCCAATTCTCAGAAATCTGCTTATTCCGAAAACAAAGGGGTTCTTTGCATGTTTGGAAGTTTTAAGAAACTCCTTGGATGCAGGTAGGTTGTCTTTACGTATCTATCCTGAGCTTTAAAAAAGACCTTAGATTCAGGTAGGTTGCCTTTGAATTTCTATTATCAGTCTTTCTTTATTTACTATGTTACGCTGGAGGCATTTAATTTATTCGATTATGTCCTCAAAAGTATGACTTCTATAGTTTATTGAGTATAGAATGTTGCTAAAATCCTGACAATTCAGCAACACAGAGGCAGCACCAACTCATATATATTTGATTTGTAACATAGGAAAATGAGGGAAGTCATTTCCAAGATTATCTATCAACTAAATTTCAATTTTATTTTATCGAATTAAGATGAATTACAGTCAGCTCCTTAAGTAAACTAACTTATGTAAATCACCCTTTTTAGTTGTTCCAAGCAATCATTTACCTGAATTACTTAAAGTTGCCATGAATTATGGAAATGCTACAAAATGCAACGCGGAAAGGTCACTATGAATCTCAGTTTCAAGCATGGACGTTTCACCCCTTTCTTATGATGTAAGTCTCCTTATCAAACTGTTCTTCGAGAAGACATTCTTATGTCGATCAAACTTTGTTGTCCCTACCATTTTTTGTACTGGAGGTTGAGTTCTACTTTATTTATTTATACTTGTTTTCCTCTAATTATTCTTGAGCTGGAATTTTGTTACTGTTAATGAACTCTTGTGGGCCTTTTACCTTTCGATCACAGAAAATCACAGAAAAAAAGAAGTATTTGCAACTTTATAGTGGCAACCAACATGTCACAATCTTGCTTTCAACTGCATCTGATTCTTCCTGTGTTTATTCATTCATTACATGTAGATTTTGTACAATTTGCAATGTTACCTTGGCTACAAGTACTCCTGTTCAGCTGTGTTGTAGATACTGTCTTCTGCTTCTGTCGTCCTTCCTTTGTTCATATGTTCATGATATTTCTTGTTGATTTTATGCAGTTTATGATGTCACTATTGGCTACAAGCATCGCTGCCCAACTCTTATTGATAATATCTTCGGTGTGGATCCTTCTGAAGTCCATATTCATGCCCAACGGATTCTTCTCTGTGAGATCCCAACATCTGAAAATGAGGCAGCTAAGTGGCTGATAGCGAGGTTCAGGGTCAAGGATGAACTCCTAGCTGATTTTACCACTCTTGGATATTTTCCTAATCCAGGAACCGAAGGAGATCTTTCTACATTGGCCTGCCTAGCAAAATGCTCCTTGGTAATGGTTCTAACTGGCACTTTCATGTACTTGACGCTTTTCTCATCTATTTGGTTCAAGATTTATGTAGCATTCAGCTGTGCTTCTCTTTCGTTTGCAACCTACTTCAACGTACTACCCTCACCGCTACATGATTGTACCAAGGCATTGTTCTACGGCAAGATGAAAACTATGTAGATTTTGTCATGTAAGCCTTATGATTTATCTTATTCGACTGCAGAATATTAATGGTATTACTTTAGGCTGCTAACTTCTATTTCCTTTTGCCAATGCTATTATGACTGTGCTTCATATTTTTCTCATTGTTGTTATAGATTTTTTTATTGACAGCTTAATGATGCTGTAGAATATTTCAGAAGATTCCTGAACTTTGTCTTTGCTTATGAGAAGAGTAGTGAATCAAACAGTTAAATTTACATTAGCCATCTTGATCACCAAAAATAATCATGTATGACAGAGTAGGTCTAATGGCAATTTTTTTTTTTTGCTGATATACCTGCAGTCACAAACTAAACATGAAAGGACCCCTGAATAAATTGAATTTATAGGTTTAGGATCATTAGTTGCCTTTCCGGTAGTTCTATGATATCTTTTCGATTGGCAATAGACGTTACCTAATTTATGGATGATCAATCAAGGATTACAAAGTTGGAAATTAGAAGGGCCTTCTAACTAGTTAGTAAGACCAGTCGACCAGCTGAAAACCTATTTGGACTTTATTATTGGTCCTTTACTTAATAAGATAATTTGCTATAAGTGGTAATGTTATATATATATATATATATATATATATATATATATATATATATATATATATATATATTGACTTTATTATTGGTCCTTTACTTAATAAAGTAACTTGCTCTAAGTTGTAAACCTAATGATTCAATTTTCTGACGCAACAGAAGTTTTCAGATACGAATTCTATACCTTAATGCTAAGCTCTAAAATGAAATGATACATGAAATTCTGTACCTTAATTTATAAGATGATACTGGTGGAAAGATTACTTAGTTATTCTCATATCAACAGAAATTCTTCTTTTTTCTTTCTCAGTCTCTTGGGTTCAATGTGGTAAAAAAGATGAAAACCATTAATCTTAAGATCAATAATTACAAAGATGGCAAGCATGCGCATGAGATTTCTTGAGATTTGTAACATATATTTTTAAGTAGTGAATACAGGATTAATCAACCTTCAAAATTCATGTGATGAAGTTTAGAATCCTAAACCTAATATGAATGCAGCAGCTATTGCATTATAATGTAAAATGCAACAGCACATCCTCTCAGTTTCATACAGCAAAACACAAGTCTGCGTCCCCAAGTTTAAAAGGACTACTAGGATTGGAGTAGAAGCGGCCACGGAGTTTGGTATTGGGGGCTCCTCCTCTAACGGCGGTCGCGGTTGATCATCTCCATGTAATGCTTCATCGACTCCTGCCGCTGCAGCCGCATCTCCTCATTAAACTTCTTGATGAACGCCTCCACCCGCCGGTTCAGCTCGTCCTGCCCCAGAGACGCCTCCCTCCTCAGCCTCCCGCCCGACGATCCCCCGCTCTTGGGCGACGCCACCGCCCCCCTCTCGTTGAAAGTCTCCGACTTTCGCATCACCGCCGCCTTCGCCGCCGCCTCCTCCTCGCCACCGCTGCCGCGGGTGTCCCACGTATCGGACTTCTTGAGGTGGCGTGCGAGCGGCACGGCCCGGCCCTCCGTGATGGTCCGCCATGTGGTCTCCAGCGTCTCGTTCCGCCTCGGCCGCCTTGCCACACCGAGCGCCTTCCCTGAAATTACCATTTTGTTCTCTGAGCCTCATCATCTTTCCGTAACCACAGGATATCGTCACCTTCCACTCGCTCACCGCCACTTTTCGGTGGACAAATTTGAATCTAATGTACGAATATACTGAAGGGGAGGTGAGAGTAACTACCTTCAGGGCTGGGCTTGACGGCCTTCCGGTGGCTGAACCGGGTGGAAACCAGCGGTTTCTCCGCCGCGGCGACCGAATACTCCGTCGGAATCTCCTCCATAGGTCCCCTACTCCGCCGCTTCGGTGACCAGCTGGACCTCGATATCACGAATTCCTCCTCCACCTCTTCGTCCTCGGCTTCCGCCTTCGCCCTGCCGTAGACCTCCGCGGCAGGCGCATCCTCCGCGAGCTTCGCATCGTACTCCACCGGGTCCTGAACAACCGCCACGGGTTCCATCGTCGCGAGGTGCGGCAGCGGCGCGAGGTCCGCGGTGGACGTCGAGGGCTGCTTCTGGAAGCGGGAAGAGGCGGCGATGGAGATGATGATGCCGTTGATGACAAGGTAGAGGTAGGGCGGTCGGAGCCAGGCGAGAGCAGAATCGTATGCCCGGGGGACCTCGGCGGCCAGGAACCAGACGACAGGCGGGCCTGCCAGGCGGATCGCCATGGCCGCCGTCACCACTCCGGCTGAGGCGATCGCCACCTTAAGTGCCATCGAGACCCACGCGCCACCACCGCCATTCCTGCTCCGGGAACCCATCCCCGCTGGTAAGCGATTGCAGCCGTCTCCCTCTCTCTCTCTCTCTCTCTCTCGCGTCGAAGCTTCAAAGGGAAATAGAGCAAACAGGAGGAGCTGGGGTTTCACTTTTAAAAAGATCAAGAGGTCGTATGAGCGTGATGGGTAGTGATGGACGGCGATGATGGAACACGGGCCGTCGGATGAGGGGTCGTCCTTGTCGCCGAGCCTGCCCCCAAAAGGACAAATAAAACAACTCCAAACGGCAAATCTCGAGGGTGTGATATTACAGGTAGTGGACGACCAGGATTTGCTGATCAAAGTATTGCATTTGATTGACACTAGGAGGATGTTGGGATTCGTTGGATTGGATTTCTTTTCATAAATGAAAGAGGATAAATATATTTAATAAGCACTGAAAGGATAAATATATTTAATAAGCACTGAAATGCGGAGGGCAGTGCGACTCCAACGGTCAAAAATTGGACCGTTATCTGCGGAGTGGGGAAGGTGGGGCGGCAGGTGTTGCGACCTTTTCTAAGAATGGCAGCCTGCCACCACATGTACATTATTATAGTCCTCATTCTCATCCAACAAGCCTGTCACATCACTCATATATATATATATATATATATATATATATTCCAAATCCGATTCATGATGTATTCTAAATTGATTTAAGGGGATCAAGTAGGCTGCTTCATATCTAAAAGAAATCGACATTTTACCATCTAGGAAGCCGTCCACAAATGTCGCAATATTTACATAGTTGGTCGATCTGGCTGGCAAGTACACGTCCATGGAAACGAAGCCAGTGACTTGTCATCACATGTCAATCCCATGGTTCTCATTGCACGAGTGATTCGAGATTATATTTGCACTCATCGAGCACGACATAAACAAGATGGACGGAGTTGAAGACCACCGTACCGAGGGTCGACCGACCATGTTAGGAGAATTCCCGTTAGGTGCACACGCTTCTTCACGAAAGCATCCATCGCCATCCACAACTGTGAATCTTTCACGTCCCTCGACAGTGACAACTCTCGCTTCAAGCATATCTAAACACTATTCGGGATGGTCATTGTGCTCAGCGACAACCGGTTGTGTTCTGTGTAAAATAATGATTTTATTGGCCGTAAATTTACGTCATAATTTGACTGATTTCTCATAATAAATAACAGGACAGAATTGATGCACAGCAAGCATACTAAGTTCATTGTAATCCCAGGATGTTGTCCCTTGATCTCAGATCATCAACAACAAGGTTTATGGATGTTGTATGCCCCGTTAGATGGACTTATCCACAAAAGGCAACTCTTGTATCCTAATTGAACTGGAGAGTTCTTATCCACTTCTGTGATCGACCCATTCTCGATTAGCGGCATTGTTAGAGACATGATTCCTTTATTTCTCTTTTGAACCCTCACAACAAAGTTTTGAGGATACTGAAGAAAGGAGAATCTGTGTAATCATTATCTGGTTCAGAAAGTATCGAGTGCAGATTTCAACTATGGATGGGCATCTGAGCGCATACATACATATCTTGCATAGGATTAGAAAAGGACATGCAAAGCATCGGTTTTTAGTAGCAACAGCAGAAAAGGGTATTGGATTTAATGTTCTCTTAGAATGGCCCATAGGCTGAAGCGAAACTAATTAGACCCCAATCTGTAGTAACTGAAGGGCATTGGATTCAATGATCTATGGGCTGAAGCGAAACTAATCAGGCCCAAAGTGCGATGCCCGATTCGATGACTCCGTAAACACGAATACGAGTCTTCCAGACGTCGCAGGGCGGGCACACCGACTCGGGGAAATTGAGCGCAACTCAGCGTCGATAAATATCCGTGCCGTCCAACCTTCGCCGTGGCCGTTCCTCTTTCCATCGAGAGCGCGGGTCCCGTCAAATCGAAGCCCTGTGGGTGGAGGAGCCTTTGGGAGGCCGCTTCAACATCGACGGAGGAAGGGACTGCGTGGTAGCCGGAGAAATCGCCGGAGAAGACGACCTCGCCCAAAGGTATGTAGGTGGCGTTTCGGCCATCTCAACCGCTATTAGCGTCTTTGTTCTGCTTTGGTGCAGAAAAGAATAAACCAAAAGATAACGGAGTAAAAAGGTAGAGTAGCGACGCATCCTCTAGTTGGTCGCCGGCGGAAGCTGGCCGCGAGCGCGGCCGACGGTCAGGGAGGAGGTCGGGTGCCGGGGTGGTACATGGTGGTGGCGTAGGTCGGTCGGGAATGGGTTGCTTGGGAGGAAAGAAAAGAATAGCGGACTCGGGTCGGATTTTATTGGATCCGCTTGCAAATAGTTTTCGGATCCTTTCTAATTTTCCAACCGATCCGATTATGGTTGGTCCGCTCTAGTGTAAAGGATAATTTTGGATTAGGTGTTCTCATTCCAATCGACGGTTCGGATTGAGAATTGGAGGGTTCTATTTTTCTATAATGGAACCGATTGATGTCATATATCCGTGACTGTCTATTGTATGTATTCAAATGAGGCACTAGATTTTCTTTGGTGTGCGTGTTGTTTGTGTTCTCTTTTTATGATTTGAATAACTATTACTGAATACGCTGAGTTCTCTTCATTGTTATGATATCTGACGTCTAATTGAATTTTTTGTGTTACCATGTCTTATTGCTCTACATCTGTCATGTTTATATCAAAGAATTACACTGACCATTGGGAAGTGGATCAGACAATGCGTACAAAATGACAACAACGCATATGAAACTGGCAAAAAATCAGTACTTGTTGATTAATTAGTATGTTAGATCAATATGTTATAGATATAGATATTGAGATGTGATTAGTGTTTATTTATATGTTAGGTCTATTCTTCTCTCACTTTAAAATGTCATTCTAGTTAGACCATGGTCATTGGGCATAAGTGCGAGCCATTGGTTATCAACTTATGGTCACTGGGAACAACTATGTCCCATGGTGAGGAAGGACTAATTGGATATTGACTCATGATCTCGATGTAGAATCATGAGTTTGGTGTTGACCAAGTGCTTTTTGTTTATATATGACTATATCTATTTTATTCATTTACTAAATGTTGATCATTGGATGTGCTTTTTTGTCTTTTCTAATATTTTTTTTCAAATTCTTAACATGAATGTCATTTTCCAATGATGCCTTGCTAAGTTATTATAATTTTGTAGTATTGGTCATTGAAAGTGACATGATTGTAAGATCATGTATCCTAGAATTATCTTACATGATATGTAATATGTTTTTGGTTAAGAGGTGGCAAAAACTCATCCTTGTTTCTGGGGCATCATGTGGTGTTCTCATGGATTTTAATGTCCTTAACTTATCCATGATCCTAGTAAATTCAATCCTCTAGCTTTACACCTTTTAGCTTCTCTTTTCCTTCTAGAAAAGATTTTTGCTAAAATCAACATCTCAAGTGCAATTGTTCATGATAGGATTATTCTTTTAAATTTGATGGTTCTGTTTGACTTGTGCTTGGGGATTTCAATTGCACTTTGACAATTCAGGCAACTCTAAAGGGCAACACGTTTCATTTTATTTTTTTTGGTTAAAAAGCTTTTTAGCTGTCAATGATTCTGTCAAAAATATAAGCAATCTAATACATATCAAAATAAAAGCACAAGTGGAACTATATTGATGCAAAGTTCCTGTTCAAATTTCTAAATTGTGGTCTTATGATCTTTTTATTCTTGATGATGCCTAACATTGTCATGAGTTCATGTTTTATCGATTTACAACCAGATATGTCTGTGTATGTATATGTACATATACAGCTAATGTAAAATCTGTGTATGCTGTGTAGCAAAATACAGATATATCTTCACCTAATGCAAAATCATATACATATACAGCTAATGTGAAATCTGTATATGCTATGTACTTGTGTAGCAAAATACAGATATACCTTCACCTAATGCAAAATCAATATGATTATGACATCTTAATTTGAACTAAAAGTATGATGTCAGTCCTGTATATGTTGTGTTGCAAATCACCTGGTGTCATGAGTTGATTAGGAATAAGTAGATCTCTTGTTTCATATCAGTACAACAAGTGCAATTCTGTCCAGAACTCTAATTTATTTTTATAGTTTTCTTTAACCTATTTCTTTGTAGGTTCCTGGAACAATATGATTCTAAACGGAATCACTGCTTCTCGGTGCCTAGACATAAAATTCAGACCTTGCTATTTGAAGCATCGTTCTTCTCTCAGATATGCCCCTCTTTGTGTTTCTGCAACATCTCCTAAATTTAGAAGACTTTCTATAGCTGTTGAAGGAAGGAATGTTCTTCCTTTTAGCGGTATGTTAATATTCTTGTTATATTTAGATATTTCTTTTTGCTTACACGAAACTTTTATGAATTTGACTGGCATATACTAGAAAGTTTTTTTTTTCAAAGAATATGTGCAAATTTTAAACAGACTTTAAAGTTAGCTTGGCTTAGGATCAAAAGATCAGACTTTATTCTGTTAACCATTAAGTACTAGAAGTGGACAATTTTTAGTAAGTTCTTGGGTTCCAAATGAAGCTGCAGAAGTTTTTTATTTTTATTTTTATTTTGATATATACCACAATTAATTTTAAATATTTTCCAGACTTTTTGTGGTAATTCCCTCTTGTTGCTGGTTCTACATTTAATTTTAGTTTTATATATGTCAATATGCCAGTACTCCAAATGTTGTAATGCTGTTTGCTTTGCTAGAGTTAGGAATAATAATATCACCACTAGGTTGTCAACACAGTTTTTCATATATCGAGTAACCTTCATTTATGGCAAAAGTGATCGAGGAATGGTTCAAGCTGACTAAGGCTTTTGATGATTGGAAAACCCTCAAGGTTGGGGATTACCAGCAGCACAGTCTTCTTTAATTTTCCTGGCAGATTTTTAACTGAACCAACATTTGTGCCTTTTGTTTGGCTATACATTCTGGGATTACCAAAGGTCTGTCCAAGCTAAGACTTCCAAATTCAGGCAGCATTTTTGCCTAGGGGTAGTGTTTCAGGGATCTTATTCCTGATTAAAGGTTCAAAAATGGTTTTGGAGTGTCCACAAATTGAACCTTATGGATTGAACTAACAAGCTATTTTTGCCTAGCTTAAGTATTAAAACTGATCAGTGAAGTGCCTCTCGAAATAAACCACAGAATAGATAGAATTTGTAGTGGATTGACAGAAATCACTTCCATTGAATTTTTAATGGTATTTTTCAGTTTATTCATTTTGTTCTGTCGAAATGGTAACAGGTTCTCTGCAATTATCTCGGTCATCTAGCTCCTTCCTATGCTGGGAACATCATGGTAATGCACTTAGGATGCCTTTGTTGGCCAGAAGTAATAAGGTGAGGTGCAGAAGCCCAGTAATCTCTGGAGCATCAAAGAGTTACTTCACTTACCCTCCAATGACCAGTAAGCCCAAATGGTGGTGGAGGACCCTAGCCTGCACTCCGTATCTCCTGCCTCTTCACTTGATGTGGATGCATGCCGACTCAGCATACCATCTCCACCCACTCTTGCAGGATTGGGACTTTCTAGTGAACCCCTTCCTCGATACGATAGCATTAATGCCAAGCTGGATCCTGATGGTTCTCATGTTTTCTGCCTATTATTTTGTAGTGAGGAGAAAAGAATGGCCTCATTTCCTGCGTTTTCACATCATCATGGCTATGCTCCTGGAGAACGCATACCAGGCAATAGCAATTGCATGCACTTGGTTCCCGAAGACTCTCTACCGTGGCGAGCTGGGGATGCATTTCTGGCTTGCTGTTACGTTCGTGCAGTTGTATACGGTGGTGGAATGTATGAGATGTGCACTCTGCGGCAAGTATGCAGATGTCCCTTTCGTCTCTGATACAGCATATATTCATTCGGATCCAAAGATTTTCTAGGGTTTTCTATTTTGTTTGTTTTGTCTGAATTAGTTAACAATGTGTGTATGGCTTGTAAGAAAAGACTCCTAGTATCACACAGTTCTGTTATGCTGTGACCTTTTACGGATAAGTTTTCGTTCAATCTAGGTTTTTGTTCTCTATTGATACTTCCATGGAATAAAGTGATTTCTGGACATTTGAGAATTATGGAAGTGCTGGTAATGTTGTCCATGTTGTGTAGACTGCAAGGTTTTGATGCCCTTTCCTTTCCATATTAATGTCTTGCTGGCTGTACCATCTGTTGTTTACCTGTACTCACTAATCAAGTTTTCTTATTCTTGCACCCACTGATCTTGATCTACTCAGTCCACTGAACCAGTTGATTTATTAGTCTCCTTTAAGTTAGGTTCGTGGTTTATAAACTGGATTGTCTTGATCAAAGATTTTGGTATACTTTGAGAGCTTTAGCTGTTCTTTCCTGAGTAGGTGATCCTTTGAAAGAACATCTCCCTAGGATTTGCGGCAAATTAATTCGGATGGCAATATGTTCATTCCTGGCAAGATAATGATCAATTAACTTGATTAACTTAAATCATTAATCCAAAATATTTAATCCCAATCCGATGTTTAAAGATTCATATTCTTTAATCTAACTCAATTATCCTTCCGCATCCGATCTAGCACTTTACTGAAATCTCAATTCTCCAATTGTATACATTTGTAGCTTGTGCAACAGACCTGCACTTATATGTGAACCCATAGCTATATATGTGGTGTGAAGAATTATAGAATTTGTGACGAAGAGGAGCGATTTTATTTATTGAGGAGATTCATTTTATGTTACTTCTATCATGATTTTTTATCATACGTTATATCATATCTGATTCTATTATAATCTTTTATCATGCCCTTGTGCTTCTGTCAAAAATGTCAATCGAGCTAGTGGTTTTGTAAGGAAGTTTATTAGTTGGTTTGAATGTGATAAATATGTTATTAATATTTGACTACTTGATCTTTAATAAAGTGAAAATCGATGCTAATACGTTTCATACATGAGTGGAACATCGGATCGGTGCATAAATAGGTGGCATCGATATTATTGTAGTATATTATAGAAGTGGATTGAGAGGTGATGCCAAATTCGTGTAACAGATTGGTGACCTAATTGAGTTCTATAACGGTGATGGTAATAGCTCGATATTCAGCTTCAGTGGTAGATCTTATAATTGTATTCTATTTTTTGGAACTCCAACTAATTATATTTATTCCAAGAAAGATAATGTAGGCTGACGGAGACGTTTTTTCATCAGTGTTGCTTGCCCAATCAACATGAGTGAAGGCATGAAGATGAAGTAATGAGTATTTACGAAGAAGATGTCTATGATTAAAAGTCCCTTTGAGATATCGTAGGATACGATTTAGTACATATCAATGTATAATTGAGGGTTGATGCATAAATTATGATAATTTGTTGACTACAAACAAGATGTCTTAACATGTAAGAGATAAATACTATAAGGAACTAAATATTTATTGGTACTAGGTGGGATCTATAGTAGGGTTGTCATCATATAATTTGAGTGATTCGGTAGTAGAGAGTAGAGTGACAAATTCTTTGATATTCTATATATTTATCTTTTGATAATAGATATTGAATGTACTTTTTTTTTAGATGGAAAAGTCCAGAAGATGTGAATATTGCTTCTACTGTTAGAAAATAACTTAACATTCCTAGATCTTTAATGAAAAATTGATTTGTCAATTGCTTAAGGAATTGCTTTATCTTCATAGGATTATTACCTGTGATGATAATATTATCTACATAAACCAGTAGATATGTAGTACCTTCCTTTTATTGTCATAGAAATAAAGAGGTGTCAAACTTAGAGTTGACAAAGCTAGCTTATGCCAAAAACAAGCCAAGTTCGGTATACTAGGCTCTTGGAGTTTGTCGAAGTGTATAAATAGTTTTTTGTAGCTTACCAATATGGCTTAGAGATTGAGGGTAGATGAAGCCTGGAAGTTACTGCATAAAAACATCTTTAGTTAAGGTCCCCTACAAGAATGTATTGTTAATATCTAGTTGGTGTATATGCTAACCTTTAATGATAACCAAATTTAGGATGTGTTGGATTATTGTCGGTTTTACAATATGACTAAATGTTTCTACGAAATCAATACTTGATCGTTAGTGAAACATTTTGGCCACTAGACGTGTTTTATATATGATAATAGATCCATATAAGTTTTACTTAATTCAAAAGATCCATTTACACCTAATGATATTTTATATGCAATGAAATAGTATAATGGTTCATATGGTATTATGGAGTAGAGCATTATATTATTCACGTATAGCTTTGCGCCAAAGCAGAGAGCTTTAGGCTTGGGTGATGGTTATGAGTTCAATAAGTTCAGGTGAAGAGCTTATGGTAGCATGAAGTTCAAGGATTAGAAGATTTCATTTTTGGAGCATGTTGTCATATAATATTTGAGCTTGATGGTATTATTGGGTCATGTTAGAGATATGAGAATTGGTGAAGTTACTGACACATACCTGATCTGGTTAATACACTTCAATGTCACTTAGCCAAGGAGAGGACAAAGATATCATTTGTGGTGATGAGAGTATTACTTCATCGAACATTGCAGTGATACACTTCAATGTCACTAGGCCAAGGAGAGGACAAAGATGTCATTGGTGGTGATGAGAGTGTTGCTTCATCGAACATTGTAGGGTGAGTTAGTGGAGAAGTAGATAGACTAGTTGTAGAGAGGGTGAGGTGCTGCTGAACCAGAGTGAAAAGAGAGTCAGGTCTAGAGGAGAATTGTTGGTTGATGTGTTGATGTAGCGATTTTGTGATCTTAGTTGTGCGTCTGGTCCTTAGCCTTGAGATACCAAGGATGTCGTATGAGTATTCTACTCTTTGATATCGAACTTATAAGTTTGAAGATTTTAAATCTAGCACAACCGGTCATCTAGGGTGATAGCCAACCTTACAAGAGCAATTGAGTGTCGATAAAGGATCATCCACTCTCAGTGTTATGAGAGAAATGTCCTGTGTGCTCTCACTTAATCAAATCTCTTCCGATTAAAGCAAGATTTGAGTAGATTCAATATGGGCCTAACAGCATCATACCTGATATATGATCTTTGGGATATTAAATGGATGAGAGATTATAAATACATGATAATTGAGGGCAAATAGGTCCAATGGATTAGATCCCCCTATACTGTTTGGGGACTATGGCGTAGTGGCCTAGTATGTCCAAAGTTAATGAATTGAGTGAATTATCATAATATGATAATTCATTAAATTAGAAGGAGTTCTGACAAGTGTAACTCATGACCAGCTCAGTAATGAGCCGAGAGGGTCACACATATGATGAATGGCGCGATGAATAGAGGATTGGATATATGATATCTAATAAGCTCCTGTTTTATTAGATCTGTTGGGTGAGACTCAGTAAAAGCTTTAAGTAGATAATTGGATAGAGATTCAATTTTCATTAAGCTAGGGATAATTGAATAGAGATCTAGAATCTAATATACTAGGAAAATTGGATATAGATCCAATACCCAATGGGGCAGGACCCATTAGTGTTAGCAATATGACCTCTCTATAAAAAGGGATATGGGACTAAAAGGGTTATAAGGCTGGACCCCTTAGCCACCACCTTCTTAACTCCTTCCCCTGCTCCTTCCTCAGTTGACTGCCTCCTTTCTGGTGTGAGAGGGTAGCAAGAAGACTACCCCCTGCCGTGTTGGTAGTGGTGCGTGAAAGTGAGGAAAGAATGCGGCACGAGAGAAGGTATGTCATTACTTCATCCGTTATGTAGATTACCGCTAGAGATGAGAACACGAGATCTCCTTCATCCATGGACTAGAATCTGCATATCATGGATATACGAGTTCCCTTATGTGAGATTTTCTCACGTCTTACGTAGTTTTCGAATTTGAGGAGTTTTTCACTTTCGATCGTTGCACACGATTTGATATAAATATGTTTTTTGGGATACTGATTTCTATTTTATTTTTTCACTATGCATGTAATACTTTCCAGGGTTTCCCAACATACTTGAGGCCAATTGGATGTAGTAGTAAGCTTGAGTCGAGACCAACAAACTTTTACTGTATGTCTAATTTTATCATAGAGCTGGCAGATGACTTTATGTTCATTACTGGTGTTGGGATGTCAAAACTATTAATAGTTATAATTGAAGTTATTTTCTGACTTGTCTAGATTAAAGTTGCCACCATGGTTGTGGGGTTGATAGTGTGATAAAGGATGATGACTTTATGTATTACAAAGGTATATTGTTCGATCCTCTGTTGAAGCTCATATTGTTTTGATTGACCTTTCTTTTGGATTTTTGATTGAATTAAGATATGATTTTGGTCCTATCATCCTTTCTTCTCATTTTAGATATGTTTTATGATCAATCAACCTATTATATAATTCGTCAAATGATATTGATGATTCTCATGCTCAAGCTATTATCGTCAGTTTCTTATATTCGTCTCCTAGGCTATTAAAAATATAGACAATAACTCCTTTATCACTCAAGGGATGACCTATTAAAGCCAAGTCATTAGTAATAGTACTTCTCTTTTGTATTATTTTTATCTGAGTAAATAAAAGACTTAGCATGCGAGTGCAAGAACAATCGATGATGATAGTTTGTAACTTTAACTATGCTTCTGCTATAGTAATAGATTAGTGGTGTTATGGATCTAGCAATTGAGGCTTGAATTACTTATAGAATAAGACAATCATATCGTTGCCATAACCTATAATTAGGATTTGTTGTTAGGCTAGGTTCTCTTGATATTTGGATCTTTTTTATTGGATAATTGAGAAAGTTGTTTATATACCACAATAGATTATATTTAAATAAGAGATTAGAGAATTGTGATTACTAAGATGTATAGTTACCAAATAATTTGAAGGGGATTAGAGTTATTGTATTGATTGATATGTCTTATATGTTAATATAAACTATTATTTCATGAGGTAACAATAATTAGGACATTAGATTAGAAAGAGAATATGATGTAAAGTTCATAACCAATTGATGACATGACAGTCGATAGACAGTAGAGATTTGATCTGATTTGTTGGAAGGGATCAGAGGAAGGACTTGAACCAGTGAAGGAGAGGTCTTTGCTAGTGATGACTGAGCCTTCGCCACTCGCCTCGTTTGTAGATGTGCGATAGGGGCAAATCACCTACTGTGATGTGAGAGGTAGTTTTGGCGATGCTACAGAGATGTCCGTCGAAGGAGAGCTTGCGTGAGTGGTTTCTCTTCCTTGGTTATAGATTTGATCACCGAGCTTGGCTATAGATCTGATCATCAATCAAAAGGAAGGGTTGCTATCTGAGGAGGCGTCGGAGGAGGCACCGGTGAGGACGATGGTGCTAAGGAGGAAGTCGTCTGTGAGGACACTGATGATGGAGATTACGAAAGGAGAAAGTGGGGCTGGAGTTATCACTGGCGAGGAGAATCGCTGCTGTTCCTTATCAATGAAGGAGAGGAGTTATTATCGTTGAACAACTAGGAAGGAAAATTTTTATTGGAGGTAAAAAAAAGTTCTGATACCATAAAAATTTATAGAACTTGTTATGAAAACAAATAATCTTATTCATTAAGATGATGCATATTCATACAAGATTTTAAGAAGAGATTTTCCTCAATCATAAATGCAAATTACTCACTCAAATCAGTAATTGATCCTCAAATTATATTGAGAATGTAAGAAATATAAAGATGTCATTTCACGTCTATATCTATTTCTATAATGATCTTTTATCAGATGTCATTCCATATCTGTTTTTACATAAATGTAGCCTATGAACTCCAAAAAAATCTATTATCTTCCCTGTTTTTAGTTTCATGAAAGAAAGGGTGAATAAAGGATGCAACGACAGAAGGATCTGCAACATATTTGTTCAAAATATGAGCACATACTACATCTGTTCTATTCAAAAGAGTTATATTATAATCTCAACTTCCAGAAGACAAAATGGGAACGAAGCACAAAAGCAACGAAATAATATAAGATGGGGACTCATGTATCTTTGCTTTTGGAACATCATTACTCGTTCTTCTTGTCAGATATGGACTTTCTTGCATCAACTCCTGTATAAGGAGCAACATTATAAGCATACTGCTGGAGGACAGAGAAAACCACCATTTCCAAAAGCACCAAGACATTTTGTATGGCTTCCTCGATATGCTCTACATCCAGCCAGAAATGATGTGATCGAATAACTCCTGCCGTAGCTAACACATCGAGTGCAACTCCCTGCAGCAAATCCAGATTGAGATGTGAAATTGCCATCTCTATACCTAAAGAAACACTAAAATCTGGCACTATATCGTAAAGGTCTCTAACAAGGATTAACGAGAAACATATGATGTATCTAACCATGTTTACTACTACGATGGAATTTTCAACCACCAGAAGCTGACATTGGAAAATTTTACTCTTAAAACATGATAATTATGTAACATTTGATTCATCATAAAACTGAAAATAGAAATGAGAACTGGAATTAGGATCCACTGAGATCAAAACTGAAATAGAGAATCCAACTTAAGCCCAATAGGGGTGCCAGTAATTATATTTACTTTATTAGCAATTTATGTATTTAATCATATTCTCATTCATGTTGTTATTTATCATTGTGTTATTCTTAATTTATCTAAACAAATTTTAATTAAATTGCATCACTAGTTCACCAAAATTTGCTGTACTTTATCGACGATATTTTTACTGAATATGATGTGAACTATTATTAGAGTGCAATGATATGTAATTCGTGAACTATCATCAATAATTTAAAAAATACCACAGAACATTTTATTAGTAATTTAAATTACTTAAAATCATACAATCAGAATTATGACTAAATATTATTTTAAACACTTAATGTTTAATTATGTGATCATCAATACAGTATGACATTAATACGACCAATGACATAATATAAACTATAACAATAAATATCATACATGAGTAAACATAGTGATATTCAAATATGAAAAATATGTATAAACAGAACCAAATATAAATAATAGACTTAATTGTAATTATGACTGATAGGAAGAATAGGAAGAAGAATAAACGGTAGCAATACCAGGTAGATAGGGTAGTACATTTCATTATCGGTCTACTAACCACCTGGTAAGCTTGATATAGTAAGATCATTGAATGGTAAGCCTGGTTTCAAACTAAACTAAACAAAATCATCTGGTCCATGTACTGATAAGTCACCAGACCAATTAATATCAGTCCATACTGACCAATACAGCTGAAATTTAATTCCATAGTTGAGATCAATATTATAGCTTTACAAAGTTAAGGAACATCAACCTTAGATGCCATGAGAGCCATGATATGGAACCAGAATGTAAACTAAAAACGAAAACCAGATGTTTTCCGAATAAATCAGATGATTCACACATTATTTAGTAACAAAGTTCTGCATGCTGACGTAGCTATCAAATTAAAGGACTAGACAAAAGAATGACAGAAAAAAGTACCTGCCAGAAGCAAAAAAAGACTATTCCTTTGATGCACATGAATTTCGTTAGAGGCTTATGTGGTGCCAGTTCCTTAGCAAACACATGGTAGAAAATCACCAACGCATACAATGCCATGGAAACTGAAATGTTCAGTATGATGGTGAAAGTCCAGCTGATCCAAGTGGTGTACAGCCCAAGAAGTTGTAATGCAATCATTAGAATGGAGCAGATAGGCCGAATTACAACAAATTGCCATGTCCAGTACTTTAGAAGCATCAATGTATGGTGCTCTAACCGGATAGTGTGAGGCTGCATTTCCAAACAAGCACATCAACCATTTTGTTGCTTCGAAAGCATAAACTTAATATAATTCTGGTACAGACAATAAGCAGTTGTCATAACAGTCCCATTACCACAAGTCAGATGCTTACAGTTATTGTCATTGAGTATGCATTTGAAACCATATACTTCCAGAATGCAAGATACAGTTGTCATGAAGTAAAATTTGAAGCCAGAAAGGATAACAAGAAAATTGTCACTAGCAGTGCAGTCGACACTTTTTATCGATAAACATAGTTATTTTGCCTTAAATAAAAATCAATTTAGTTGCTAAGCATTATTAGAGTCGAAGCCTAGTGCACCCATTCAATAAAAAATGTAGTTATTTTGCCTCAAAGAATAATCAATGCAGTTACTGAGCATTAAATTAGGGAAGGCATAGTGCACAAAGTTCCTGTTAGGTATCTTGAGAGGGTGACAACTATGCAGCCTTTTCCCCACATACGAATTTTCTAACTAGCAAATTTTTGCAATACTAGAAAATTTTCTAACACAACCAGAATTAGTAGATAATCTCAGAGAAAGATCAGGAGGTTCTGTGTTTTTTTAAGGATCAGGAGGTTCTTATTACATTAAAGTAGCAGACTGGTCATAACCACCCCTAGATGTAGCCAGTAATAATTAGTTCCATCCCAGTTGTTCACTCTTTGTATCTAACATGCTTAAGTACTGTAAGAATACATTTCATCTCAGTTTTAATCAGGTTTTTCAGTATCTCAATTTGATCCATTGCAAACTACATATTTTACTGAAACTTGTTTAATAACTATTTCTTAATTTTATACAAGGAAAATTAAAGTCTTTCCTCTTTGGTGACTGCTTTCATTGGAATCGAAATCCTTAACCAACAGTAAGGCAAAAAGCAACTAGTATGGAAACAATCCGGGTTACATGTTGATACATGAATAGTGATAAAATAACATTATGGTTTTTTTTATAAATCATACCAGAAAAAGAGATACAGGGAAAGAATGATGGATCTCCCTTCCTTTAATTTCGTCTGGCACAATGTTCTTACTGAGAGAAATGTTCAAGTAACTATACATCAAAGCCATGAACTTGGCAATCACCTGCAATAAGACCACAACTTGTGTTATGAGTTTTGCTGAAAAAAAAAATTCCATGACAATGAACATGAAAGTAAATTTCTGGGTTTAAGCATAGGGACTTACGAGAGCTTCATAACATTCCTTAATAGAGTCCAGAAAAGTGAAAAAGGCTTTGCTGCCCTGAATATCTACCAAACCAACGAAGGAGTCTATAGCATACAAAGGAGCCATAAGGATAATAACTATTATAGCCTTCTGTTCCTTTGGATTTTTCCAATAGAAAAGATGTTGCGATAGTAACTGTATGGTGAAATGCATGGTCAGAATCACACAGCATGCTGCCCCTAGTAAAGTGAGTGTTCCAGGGTCCATCTTCGTCAGATCCATTTGTGGAAACATTGCTTCTGGAGATAGAACACGACCAGGAAATTATTATTTAGGCCTGCTACTTTCATGAAGATAAAAGCAACACAACTCTTGCAATGCCGAACAACTAATTACTTATGGAGTTCTATCATAACGTAGTAGCAGTAGCTACAGCAATGTCAAATTGGAATTATATCCACAAGTAGAACCCTACCAACTAGAACTAGAACTAACAAAAACAACCAAAAAGGGATGTGAAGAACTGAACAGAAAACGTGCCAGAAGGAGGATAATTCCCAACAAAATAAGCTCATATAACTGCAGAAAAAATTGGTTTTATAAGTTCATAGTTTTTCAACATTTCTGAGCATGAATGACTGTACAAATAAATGAGTTCTTCCCGATGTCTGCTAAAAGCTACTATATTTATTTCAACAGATTTCATAAACATTTTTCTGAGCATTGATGAAAGCTATGCACTCGAGGTTGTATGTGAATCGCAGCTATTTGCGACAACACACTATAATTCCAACATACACAAGAGTGTTCTTTCACATGGTTTACAACCAAGTCTTCGTCTTCATCTTTTTCTTCCTCATATAGCCCAAATCCCTTTTGTTAAAAGGTAATTTTATCACACTATTTGTGTTGCAATCAAACTCAAACAAGAATGTCAGAAGAACCATACATGTGATTTTATCTTATATATAAGTCTGCATCCACCACAGACATGGATAATGCTTTATTCAATTATCAAATAACTTGCCCACACTGTGTAAACTCTCATCCCAAACAACTCTCAACTCGGTGCACACCATGTTGACTGGCATATACAATTTCTTCAGGAAAACTGTGGTGCCTGCGGTTTGCAACCTCACCATCAAGTATCAATGAGATTTCAAGAGCCATACCCCCAGCGTCTTGAAATCAGCAGCAGGAAAAAATATAAAAAAACAAATATTGGTCAAGTTTTCAACATCTGTTCTGTTTCTCACAGCAATTTGGAGATGTCTGTTTTCTTTTAAGCTCTGAAAATGTTTTTAGATAATATTGACCGTAAAAGAACAAAAAAGCTCTCAGCTTTTTCTGTGTTCTCGAAGCTGTTAATGAATGGGGACTCACTCTACTGTCGACCCCCACGGCAGCAATGGGCAAAGCGGAACTAGGTTGGGACGATATGCGGTGCGCTCAAATGTGCGATGTGCCTCGGATGAGGCCCTCTGTCCCGGCTCCTCTGAAGAGCGGCGACCACCAGTGTCAGTCACTTCCCGAGATGTACACTCGGCCACACGCCTACAGCGCTTCTCTCATCGAGTGGAGGGGCCCGCCCGTGCTCCACCCACAAGCTCTCCTCCAAGGGGATGCGACGCAGCTGCGCCACCGATCAAGTGCAAGATTGGACAGCTTCACCGACTATAACGCCCTAATCCGTGCCAATTCGATTACCTCTCTCTCGAAATGATGGATTTGAAATATAATTCCGATTCTTAAAATCACAAGCAATTGATTCCCTCACGCAATTTTGAAGTGGAATCGATTCCTTAACGGGTACCAATTCAACTCAGCGCAGCAAGCTCACAGCACTAGAGAATTCTAGACTTTCTCAAGATACCGATTCTTTTCAAGGACTGATGATTGCTTCAACAGATATAATGGAATAAAAGTGATCATCCAATTCACAATCGTCCACAACATCGAAGAAGAATCGATCTGAGATAACATTAAAACGAAACCGATTGAGAAATCCAACACAAGCGACGCTCAGGCGGAAAGATACGACCGAGGAGAAACGAAGAGAAAGAAAGAGAGATCGGAGAGAGTCAACGAGGACTTACCCCGTATAGATGGATCTCGCTTCTTCCAGTGAGAGGAAGACACAGACCAAATGCTAAAGGGATTGGGGTTTCCTTTGTCACACTATTTTACAACTAATGTCCTATATATAAAGGGATTGGGTCTCCATTACCACTATTTTACCGTAATGCCTAATGCACATGAAATGTCATATATGTCCCCCCCACCCCCCACAAACACACCTAATTACAAATTTAAGCTTCTAGATTTCAAAAAATTAAATTGTCCCTCTTTTGTTAATTATTAGTATTTAATAATTTGCTTCCATTTTTTACTTTTCAAATATACTCCTTTGAACTTTATAGGAGTCAATATGGAGTTTTGTTTTTCTATTCTTTTTTATTTATTTCATATGCTTTCCCCAAGTGGGGGAGACTTATAAAAGGTTACAAAATGCTTTGTAGAGATCTGCTATTTAATAATCTTTCACATTCACACACACACAAAATATTTATATCATCACAATCAGATTAAATCAATATTTCCCGTTGACTAACTAAATGAATTCCACATACATTATATAGAAAATTAAACATGGAATGCTCGTGCTACCTACAAGATAAAATTTTCAGCCCTTTATGTCCACATAGGCTGTATGTGTACAAATTATATTCTTAATTTAAAAGAATATTTGGTTATTTTGATTTAAAATAAATATATATTTAATTCTAATTATTATTTTACTATATCTTTGGCATATGATTTGCATGAGTTATTGGGAATAAGAGACACTTACTACAATTTGTACCCACAAACATACATATTCACTAAATCGAGATCGTCCAATTGACATTTATTATTAAAGTTTGCTGTTACTTTTTAAGTATTTTGATATTCTATTTGGTCTCGTCCTTTTATTTTGATAGATTTGTTTGAGTTGATTTTTTTTATTTTACAAAAGATAAATTATAAATGTGGGATTCGAGATCACGATTTTACTAGAGTTTGATATATAATTGTACAATGATACACGCACTAACAATTATATGAGAGAGACCAAATGCAACCGAGATATTAGAGTGAAGAAACGGATTGAGTTTTCCTTTATTACTACTTTACTATAATGACTAATGCTTTATTAGCTTTTTCATCACAAAATTTTTACTATTTATATTTTTAAATCAAACATAAATATTTTTTTTCTTCTTTCTTTGACAATCTCATTGGACCTCATGGTGTCATTCTCTCGAAACAATAATACATTTAAGGGGTTGTAAAAAATAAAAAGGATAATATTAATAATCGAGGGATTATAAATTATAAATTATATTTTTAAGAGGTCGTTAATAGCAAAAAAAAAAAAGGACTGTAAATACCAAGCTTCTATAGAAAATAACATTCATATCCCTAGAAATACACCTGATTACAAATTTATGCTTCTAGATTTCAGAAATTAAATTGTCCTTCCTATGGTTAATTGTTAGTATTTGATAATTTGCGTGCATTTGACCTTTTCAAATATACTTTTAACTTATAAGAGTCAATATGGAATTTTGTTTTATGTTATTTTTATTTTTTTCTTTCATATGTTTCCTCCATGTGGGGGAGACTTATGGAAGGCTACAAAAAGGCATGGAAATAATCTAGAAGGCCTCTTATTTAATAATCATTCACACTCACGGACAAATTAAAAAAAAAAATATTTTGACGGCAAATCTTAAAGGGGATTGGCATGGGAAGAAAAACTAAGGATTTTTATATCATAGTAAAAATCTATTTGTTAAATTTCATCACAATCAGATCAAATCAATATTGAGTGTTCATTAACTAAGTGAATTCCACCTACATCATATAGCAAATCGTACCAAAAAGATTAGGATGTTGACATGGAATACTCGTCGTCCCCATAAGATAAAATTTTCAGCCTCTGCATAGGATGCATGTGTTCTAAAAGCGAGGTTTAATCAACAATGATGCAATTTAATTGTGGTGTACAATTTATATCTTAATTTAAAAGAACATTTGGTCCTTTTATTATAAAATATATTTAATTCTAATTATTATTTTACTATATTTTTGTATGAGTTCTTGGGAATAGGAGAAACTTACTACATTTATCCCACAAGGTGTGCACCAAATCTAAATAGTCTAATTCACAATTATAGAAATAGGTAATGGAACACCTTAGGTCAGAATTGTCTAAGTTGGTAAAGACTAAAATTGACTTATAAGAATATGATAATTTCAGTTTCAATAATTTGATCAATCGTTTGGCTCAAATCAGAATTATAAATCCATTAGCTTATCAAACTTGAATTGTAATATTTAATATTAAAATCGAGCTAATATTTGAATATAATGAGGAAGCTAAAAAGGACTACCCGTGGATGGAATCAGAGCATAGGTTATTAAAGTTTTTATTAGCTTCTTTACTTTCATATTGTCTCTCCATTTTGATAGAACTGATAAAATTAATTTTTTTAAGAATAAACTAAGAAGACAGGATTTGAGATTGGAATCTTGTAAGATATCTAACTATTAAGATATCTATATAAATAATACACTAACTATTAAGATATCTACATAGAGACTTAATAATTTGATACTGAATACAAGAGTTTAACATTTTGATAAATCCTTCATTTATGTTTTTATAATTAGATAATTATGTACTAACCGTTAGAATATCTCTGACTATTAATACCGAAAACAAGAGTTCATTTTTATAAATCCTCAATATATAAATTTTTTTCTTAAAGGAAAGTAGAAAACCATATTTATCAAAGTTTTGAGACAGGTGATTTGAAGTCCAAGCCTCATCTTTCTTAACATTTCTAAGTAATGCTCAAAACATTGATATAAAAGATGGTTTTGGGGGAAAAAAAGGGAGAAAAATGTTTATATGTAGTATAATGGCAAACAAAATTGGAAGATTTTTTAATAGGATGCCTATCATAAGGTGCCATAAACTAAAATTCATGATATATTTAATTGTTTGCTAAATATCGCAACGTTTTTGCTTTCATTATTTCTACTTGTTAATATCCGACGTAAAGTCGCTATAAATTGTAATATAAATATAACATATATGTAAATGTAAATCAAAATTTTTAGAATATCTTTATTCTCTTCGATTATTTTAATCCCATATACTATCCCTCTCCTTACCAGCTTTGTCTTTCTTTTTTCTTTTTCTTTTTTTTCTACTATACAACTGAATCAAATATTATTATGTTATATGTGTGGAAGAGAAACAAATATTATGACGATTACATCTGGAATAAAATTAGATATTTGACACTTACATTGGAGAGACGTTTCATTATTAATATGCTAATAGTTGACTAATAAATGTTAATACAATAATTCATTTATTAGTTTCTTAGAATTTTAGGGATAAGTACTAAACTTAGGCTATATGGCTTATGGCTACCTAAATGTTATCAAGTTTGAGTAAGATGACACACATGAAAGAGATGATATATCCTAACACACTCTTTTAAGGTACTAATCCAAAAGATATTAACGACAATTATTATTTCAATTTGGACTACTACATATTAGCCATGATAACATAGTCTTGCAAGGATTAGTGTGTTAAATTTGGATGGGTATTTCCAAATGACAATGATTTATTTATAAACTATATTGTCTGGATAAGTACATTAATGTTAAACGAGGGCTATGGCAGCCTAGCCTAGCTTAGCTTGTGAGCAAAATGACAAACAAATGAAGCAAGCTATCCTAAAGCATTGTTATTGGAAAATAATATTATAATGATTAATACATCTTTATTGAAATAAAGTTAGAGATTTGACGTTCACATTGACATTGTTGCATAGAGTAAAAGTCGAAGTGCAAAACTGCCTAATATATTGATGTTAGTCAAAGTTTCAACATCATTGCACTAATAGTCGACTAATAGATATTAATCCCAATATACCTGAAAGTTGTTGGGTTGCTTATGAGCAAATAGTAATTTAATATTAGAACATGAATCTTCGCATCTTCCGATCATGAATTGATTCGAATCGGAATCAAACTGAAACGGCATTGTTAGGCAGTTTGATTCTGATTTGATTTTGAATCGATCGAAAATAAATAAATATTAAGTATTAATAAAAATAAATAAAATAAAAAAAATAACGATTCGATTTTGGAATCGGAATCGCTCCCTTTTGTATGGAAGCACAATCGTTGATTTCCTGTGTTGATCGAGACGAGCGATAGATCGGACGGCACTCGCATGGCAAGTCGTCGGACCCACCGCATTGCTTCCTTCAAGAAAGAGGACTTTGCCTTTGAAGCATCATCGGGGTTGGAGATGCGATGTTGTGCCGATGGGCAATGTTTAAAGCGGTGCCATCCTTCATGGATGCTTTTTTCTCCAAATGACATGCATGGATGCCAATCTGGCCCCGAGAAAGCATTTTTGGGAGTCCTAAAAGCTTGCAGTGCTGACGATGCAACTCCGGATTTTGAATCGTAGCCTACAATCGAACGCGAGTTGGTGCGTCCAACTCCCATCGGCTCTTCATGTTACTCTTTTTGGCACACTCTTACATGCCAAAACTGTATATGGTCTTATTATAATGGAAAATACTTGGCACATGAAACTAAGTGTGTGCTGTGGTGTGCAAGTTAACTAAGATTCTTTTTTTGGCCTATTTACAGGAGAGGAGAGGAGAGGAGATGCACCATCACATGTCTGATGTATTATAATATTAATGGTATTTGTCGATCCGATAGTATATGCATGTTCAGTATGAGACTTATATCGCAGTAATCTCTCGTGTAAGTGTCAACCAAAATATCGTATTCACTTGCATTGAAAAATCGCAGTTCAATTTGACTTGTCAAAGTACAATTAGTTCCACCGAATCGTCTTCACCTTCTACTTCAATCTTGGTGGCTCGCAGTCAAAATCACATCGGGTGTTCCACACGGGCAGGTAGGCTATGTCGACCGACGCCGAAGATGTTATTATTCCACCAAATCGAGGCACTCACTTAACACGTATGATCGTTGAACTTTCCAAGCGATCGAACGTGCGGTAGTAATCGTGAAGTCGAGCAAAGCCATTCAGCACGGCTGGTCAACGCACGCAACGGCAGAGTTGGGATGGCCGA